GTTCCTCCAGACCCGCACCAATGAGAAGGTGGAGCTGCAGGAGCTCAATGACCGCTTTGCCAACTACATCGAGAAAGTGCGCTTCTTGGAACAGCAGAATGCCCTCATGGTGGCCGAGGTGAACCGCCTGCGGGGCAAGGAGCCCACCCGCGTGGCTGAGATGTACGAGGAGGAGCTGCGGGAGCTCCGGCGGCAGATAGATGTGCTCACCAGCCAGCGTGCCCGCGTCGAGGTCGAGCGTGACAACCTGCTCGATGACCTGCAGAAGCTCAAGCAGAGGTGAGGAGGGGCCCCGGCATGTCCCTGTGAGTGTCTGTCCCTGCATCTCCATCCTTAGGGATGGGCAGCAGCAGAGCTCTCCCCAGAAGCCCCTCAGGTACTCACTGCTGTCCTTGTGCCCTGAGGCTCAGAGCCCATTGTGGCCCCGCTCCTCTGTCCCACTCACCCCGTCCCCCAGAACAGGAGACCACCCTGGCCATGCCTCTCGCTGGCTGTACCCACCTGTGGGGCACTTTGCAGGGTGCCTAGTCCTGGCATGGTGGCTACAAGTTTTGGGAGGCAGAAGGGCACCCATGACCCGCTCTGCTGGTGCTGGGTTCTCCCCAATCCACAGCATGGGGCAGGCAGGGGGGAGCTGGGCTGGTGGTGTGGGGCTGGGCGAGGGAGGTGCCCATAGCCTGGGCACCTCCGCAGGGCACTCCGGATGGCTGCTGCCAGCCCCGGGAGCACCATGTGGGAGGCAGGCTTCGGCAGGCAGGGGTGTCCCCCGTGCCCTCCCTTGCAGCAGAGCTGAGGCTGGGCTGTGATGCCATGGGACTCTCAGAGCTGGGGGATTGGAATGCACCCCCTCCCGGGGGTCCCCATCCCTGCTCCCACCAAGGAGGGCTGGCAAGCCCACGGGTGAGCTGAGCCCTGCGGGACAGACAGACAGACAGAGCCAGCCAGGCAGGTGGAAGCGAGGGGGAGGTTGGCCCAGGGAGGGGTTCTCTGACAGCTCCGGACATGAAGGAGGGAGGGGAGGAAGCAGCCAAGCTTCCGTAGGCCAAGGATGCTCCGTGGATGTCCATGGTACCCCAGGAGGGGAAGGGACCCCCCCAGAATGCCATAGGCCTGGCTGGTGCCAGGGAGGGGGCTGATGCCAGGGGGAAGAGCCACAGGGACAGCCAGGCTGAGTGATCCCCCAGGGACTAACCAGCGTGGGGGCACCTGGCAGCAGCAGCAGATGCTCGGGGTGAGCCGCTTGCTCTGATGATGGACTGTGCCTTCCCTTCTGGCCCCTGTGCCCCAGGGATGCCGAGTCCCCAGAGTGACACTGGGGGTGACACAGCCTGCTGTCTTCCCCCGGCAGCCCCAGTGTGGTGCTGGTGGGGCTGCAGTGGGGCAGAGCCCCTGATGCTGGGAGGCTGGGGGTGGTGGCACAGAGGACCCCTGCATGTCAGGGGAGGAGCAGGGCCCAGAACAAACGGGTGTCAGATTCCCACCACCCTGTGTGCCAGCACTGCTCAGGCACCTCCATCTCTTGCCTGCTGCCTTCCCCCTGACCAGCAG